CGATTAGTTTTGTTTAAATCCTAATGGCTGATTCCATAACTTATTGAGTGCTTATTGAGGGAATAATTTATTTCTTTTCCTTCTTATATAACATAATAGCATCATCATGATTTACGTCCATTTTGCTTCCTGCTATTATTTAAATTTTTAGTCTTTGTTTTTAAAAGTATACATTTGTAAAAACCCTCGTTGCTAACTTATGTATATACACTTTCTCTTTTTGTGTGTATGTGTGTGTGCGCGCTGCATTTAGGAAGTATTAACAAATTGAAAGTAAATAGTTTAATGATGTTAGCTTTCGCTCACAGGGGAAAAAAAAAAAAAAATTATCTGAAAATTAATTATCACTTTTATTAAGTTAAAAAAGTCTCTAATGCGAATTTAATATTTTTATGCATTTGAAACTTTGTTCCAGTCATGACTACTTGTTCTTTTGCTCTGAATGCATGTACTTTTTTTTGGGGGGGGAGGGGAGGTGCAGCTCGACATTATATAGTATTTGATGGTCTTAAATTGTACAACAAAACGCTGCATCTCACTGACTTAACAGCAGCCTCACACTCAAATTACGTACCGCTTGATTTCAAGTTCATTAAGCCCTTTATTTTAAGACTTCCTATTCCTTTTTCGGTAAGATTTAGTTGCAGAAGTTTTAACCTCGTTGTCATTGCATAGTAGCCTTATCGAGCTGTCGTAAATTTTCCCTCGAATAGAACCTTACACGCTAACCAGTGCTGCCATCTATTGACGAAACTCAACACCATCTTAACATTTTATCTGTGAAAGTTTAATTTCTCATTTCGTTTAAGTAACTGCTAGCTTCTCCAGTGCTAAATTTAAAAGGGGGGGGGAATTAAAATATATATGCAGTAATCATTCGAGAAAGGGGGATAACATGAGCAATGCTGCTTTCTTGAAACATATAACATTATTTTGTGTAGTTTTATAATATAAATGAACATTTAATTATTAATTTAGTAACTGTACATCAAATAATTTAATATTTCCGTATAAAATGCTAATTAATATAAATGTACTAATTTCTGTAATTTTTGTCTTTTTTTTTTTTTCCTTCAAAAAACTGTCATGTTTTTCTTTATTATCCTGAAATCTTTTTGGATTTACCTTAGTACACGTGTACTTTAATTACACCTAAAGGTTTTGGAATATAAAAACATTGTTTTATTTGAGTTAAAATAATACGCTGAATAACGATAATGGAAAGTAGTAAGGTAACAAGATTATTCTGATTATATAATTACGCTTAATAATACGCTGATTTCTTATTGTCTTAGAAAGCCGAAGTAGCGTATTTTAAAAATTTCTAAGGAAGAGATATTATTAATAAATTCTTTGTGAGTTAAATTACGCAAATCAAGGTACCATGTTTCTTCGAATCTAAGTCAGACATTTTCTTCCCCTTACCATGGTAGACAGCAAGATACGCTTACTAAATTACTAATTATTTCACAATTATTACTAAATTATCCATTATTTCGAAATAATAGTTTTTTTAAGTCGTGTACTTTAAGTAGAACTCTATTGTAGTTATAAACCAAAGTCGATTACTAAAAAAAAAGTATTCTCCTAGGGTGTATTTTTGGATTCGATTTTATTCATATTGTGTATTTTCTTAGAATCGGAAAATACGCTGTTTCTTAACGTAGAAAAACGGAGTTTAGCACTTTTTAAACGATTTTGCCGTTTATTATTAAATGAATGCGTTGTCTTTAATGACTAGGCATTTAATAGAACTTAAAACTTATTATCACTTTCTTCTCCTGAATTATGCCATCATTTGATAGTTTCCTTCGAATTATATTCTTGCACGACATTATATTGGTACTTTGTTCTTTTCAGATGGCACCATCTTTTCTAACAAATCCTTATGGAGTACTGCCACCACATTTACGAGGTGCTGGCCACCTTGGGAGTTTGGTAGCCCATCCTGCTGCATTATCTGTGGGTAAGGCATATTTGTGACTCTTTCATCACAACGTGTAGAAAAAATTTTAGTATTCTAATGTTTTCAGAGAAAACGGAAATGTAACGCAAATAAAAGCTCAGCTATAGTAATGAAATTTTTAAATGTAAAATACAGATGTCTTATTTAACGCGTTGCATACGCTTAAAACAAAGAAAAAAAAGTTTTAATAGTTTTTGCTGCCTTTTATCTTTATTGTCTTTATGATTTTTAATTTCAATTTTAAACAAAGCTCGAATGATACTTAATTATTAGTGACTTTGGCATTAGAATATTAGAATTGGACATTAGAATTTTTAACGTTATTTCAATTATAAGCAGAGGCTTAAAAGTGGAGCTATGTCATATAAACTGGAAAAATATTTTATGCTTGTAATTTCAAATCTATAACGGCTGCAACATTCTGCTTGATATGAGATTTCAATTATGCGAGGCAGCATCAGTTCAAATCTCACAAGTAACAAAAATTCAGGATCTCAGGTAATAGAGAAAATGGCTGTAAAAATTATATCGATTTATGTCCTAGAAATTGATATAATGATTTCTATAAAAAATTGTTCTTTTGTGCTGATGTTTCTGCATTGAAGCTCTACATTCACAAAAAAGTGAAGAGCTAAAGCTGTAGTGAAAGTTGTTAATTTAACTTTGAAATTGGGCATTAATTCTCCTATTCGAGATCAGTAAGCGATTTAATTGTTAATTTCCCATTGCTCAGATAATGTAGTTCCCGAAGTGTTTCCACGCAACGTTTTAGGACAAGAAGGATAGCTTATAGGGGCGCCTTGAAATGTCCCACTTCTTTTGTGGAAACGATACTTAGTCCACATGAGTTTAGATTCGGGTCTTCGATAAGGTAAATGCTGTGATAGGAAGAACATTTTTTAACAGACATTGTAAAAACCGCTGTTTTTGAAGAGCACCTACCTGTCTCCTTAACAAGTGATATTAAAATTTCTTTTAAGGAAATAACGTCGAAAAGTTCACGAAAATTTGAGGGCTTTTTATTTGAGTTAAAAAAATACGCTGAATACGCCAAAGCTGCCACAGAGTATACTTACGTATTGAACAGTCTTGCGGCAGTTCATCGATTGACAGTACATTCAAGATAAAATATGATAGCAGGGAAATTAATTCATTTTAGGATATTAAAATATTAATAGTTCGTGCGCAACTTCGTGTTCGTCCAAAGCTAGATTCTCAGCAGTCTCTGCGAAAAAAAGCAAGTATTGAAAAAAAAAAAATAAAAAAATCCATGAGGAACATTAAATGTGGTGGTTGTGACTCAATTTATTTCAAGGTTTCAAAATTATACTGTTAATTTAAAAGTAACTCATCCGTGCCATTAAATACGATTCATTTATTCGGCGATATTATTGTTTAAAACAGGGGATCTCACCGGTGGTACGCAAAAGAAAAATAGGTGGTACGCAAAGGAGCAAGATATTTTTAACTATTACATTCAAAAATTAAAACTGCAACATCCTGATTGAGTTTTTTCTTTAACACTCGTAAATTGAGTTTTTTCTCTAACACTCGTAAATTTATGCGATCTGAGCTTAAAAGTTGATTACCGCTGGTTTAAAATATGCATTTATTTAATAAATTTTGTATAAATTATTTCTTAGCTTGAAATACGCGTTTAATTAATTTTTTAATTTAACAAAAATAAACGCGCCGCGTACTGAAAATCTTTATGATCAAATGGCTTGATATATACTTTATAGTGCCTTTGCTCGTAGATTTTGGGAGATCTCTACATATAATAAAAGAAATCATGTATAAAATGATTGTTTATAATCTAATTTTAAAAGTATTAGTTTGTGTTGCATCCAAATAAAAGAAATCATGTATAAAATGTTTGTTTATAATCTAATTTTAAAAGTATTAGTTTTTGTTGCATCCAAATATTTAAAGTGAATTATATCATTAGGGACCTTGATGTCTGCTGGCATGAACGTCAAGGATAGTCTCCATGGTCCTCTAGGTCATGGGCCTCCAACTGGTTTATCGGTGGACAAACAGTTTCCCCTCCACATGTATCTTCCGCAAGCAGCGGCAGGAAGTAATCTCTCCAGCCATCCACCAGTCCCAAACAGAAAGGACAGCAGCGACTCGGCGCTTAGTGATACAGACAAGAAAGGTGAAACCATCATCACCTGTCAGAGTACGTGATGAAACGTCTCTAACTCGTCATAGCATCACTAATCAGTGGCGATATAGCAATTACAATTCCCTTATTAAAAAACCAAAATCTGTAGGTCTAACTGGTTGCAAATGCGTACTTAAATGAAAAATATGAACAATTGCAAAGAATTTAAGAAAAAATACGTGAAATATGCCTTATAGCTCCTTTTAAAAAATTTTTAATGCTTATAACCTCCCTAACAGCTGATTTAATGAAGTAGTCGCATTCTAAATTCTGGAATTTATTGATACTTAAACAAATGAATCGAAAAGATTTATTTTAGGGATACATCATCTAATGACTCTGACTTCTACTTATTGCAAAATTTATTGTAATTTAATAGTTTTGTGTGTGTGCTTTGCATGAAATTTGATATTCGTTATTTTAAAGCTTAATAACTGGTTGGTTGAGCAGCTTGTTCGGGTGAATTTTTTGTTCTATAGCTTATGTGTACGCTAGTACGGACCAGTGCATGGAAAGTTCTTCTCCGAAGCATCCTTTCATTAACGAACAACCGCTGTGTATCTTTCTCATTTATCTTGATTTTAAATCAAAGAATTTCTTGAATTGTGTCATCTTTCTCACCTCTCAGTGATGAGGACTTTACACTAATTAAAAAATCAGTTGTTTTCCCATCAATATTTCAGCTGTTCATCTTCAGCATTTCTTTTACAATTAGCAGTTTCATCTGGTGCTACATTTCAGTGCAGTCCATCACAGCTGGAGAAGATCTCATCTTGGTCAAACTACGTTACCTTGTTGCTTCAGAGAAACCGACCGAATAATTTCCCTTCACAATCCATTAAACATTTGAAGGTGTCAAATATAACCAATGAAATTCTAATAACTTGAAGCTGTCAAATATTACCAGTCAAACTTAGTAGCTAGTCAGTGCAATGAATCTTTGAATGCTGAAGACACCGAGTGGAATTGAAAATTTTGCTTAACTGGTGTTGTATAAATTAGAAGCATTACCGTTTAAATGTTCCGTAATGATAGAATTTTGATTTATTAGATGCGTTTTTCAAATCTCGTTTCTTCATTTTCACATTATAATATGAATGTGATTATTACGTTTAGATTATAGACTGTTATTTGTGAGAAGTGAAATTGTGAAGAATCAACTGAGATTTGATGCAGCTTCTGACATTTTTTAGCTCTCTCAGATTTCTTATAATTCTGGACAAGCGTTTATTAACCAGTGTTCTAGGGAAGCCTAATACACCGCAAGAAATCTGCTAGGGGTTCCGCTAGAGCTATTCTGAATAGTCTAACTGTATACTATTCTTGGAGCCACAGCTCCTGGTAACTTTTTGGCGAGCTAACTACTATTTCTCTTCTCATTTCCTTTATTTTGCAGCATATTGAGCAAAAGATTTTGGCCAAAATTGGTCTTATTAGTATTATACTTACAACCTAGCTTATAAAATTATATATATAATTGTTATATCGGGGTTTCTTGAGACACGGTTATTCTTCAAGGCTTCCCCAAGAATAAAGAAGTTAAAAAGTGCTGCTCTTGATATATTAGCGTAAATTTAAAAAAAAAAAAAATTTTTTTTGAAGAAAACACTGGCATAAAAGTATGTTCCAGAATAGCTGAAATATGTGTGTGATGTAATTGTTAAGAATATCTATGCATGAATTTTAGAATAATCATACATCGGTTGCGATTGTAATCTTAAAAACTGGCCTTATTTTCTTTTATTAGGTAAGCTTCTTGGTGCCAAAATTATTCGTCAGGCTAAGAAAGAAGGCGACGGGAAACCTCATATCAAGAGGCCCATGAACGCATTCATGGTCTGGGCTAAAGATGAGCGCAGAAAAATACTTAAAGCCTGTCCTGACATGCATAACTCCAATATTTCGAAAATCTTAGGTAAGTCTTTACACAATGGTTGTATGTGTATACGTTACGGTGAAAGACCGAAATCTGGAGAATGTCGACTCTCACCGGTGAATGTCAACATTCACATAGTCTCTTGGGTGTATGTCCGAAATATTTTCCAAATACTCTTATTTCTGACTTACATCGGTCAATGTCGACATTCACCATGTACTAATGGTGAATGTTGAACATATAACAATATTATATTTTCTTCTCCGTAATTCAGTCGCGAATAAACGCACTTGAAACTTGAAATAAGAACTTAAGAATATGAGAACTTAAAACACACAATACATTCAAAATGAGAAAGGAAAATAATAGAAGTTAAAAACTTACTTAATTATACAGTACGTTCTAAATGAGAAAATAAATAACAGTATAAAAAAACTTACTAAAAATTATGTGATTCAATCTTATTTATTGCAACAACTTAAAACTATTATGGCACTTTATGACCTCTCTTTCCGACTTTCACCAGAGCATATCTGTGATTGTCGACAAACACCGGTGAGGGTCCGAATATACAAGAATGTAGTGAAATATTCGGTCTTTCACCGACGTATTTGGTGAATGTTGATATTCTCCGGTGAAAGTCGACATTCTCCAATTTCGGTCTTTCACGGTAACATATATATATATATGCAAGATAAAAAAAAATTTAAATGAAAATTATAATTTAAATTAGCATTATTCCTTAGTTCCCCCTCTCTATTCTAAAAATCCTAATAACGTTTCTGATGTGCGTCACTCTAAGATCAATTTATCTTGCATAGCTTGAGTAAAGCTGATGACGTAGCTAGTTCAGAACTTGAACTCTAAATTTTGAGAACTGAAACCTTTCTAACCTAAACCAAAACCTTCTCTTGGTGAGCCTCCATACTGGATAACTGCGCACTTTCGCTTCAACTCTTTTCTCGTAAAGATGCTGCTTCCTTCGATTAAAATATTATTTGTATAAAATTGTGGGGGTGCCTAGTGTACCCACAATAATGATGTGAAATGAAAAAGAGTATGTGTCCTCAGAATTAATTATCCAGGAATAAAATTATGTGTGGAATTTAGGGCTACGTCCATCTTTGAGTGTCATCTTTCTAACTACGCCGCAAAGTCTCTGCAAGTTATAACGCAGAGAACCATCCATTGCTTTCTCCAAGTCATCTTATGTATATATTATAGAATTAGATCTTACTCATCTGCAGAGATTTTACCAAAATTTTTGGCACAAATCAGTTTCTGTCAAAATACTTCTGTGTATTTACATAAATTTATATAAGAAAATTAATTTAGCCATTCAATAAATTATAATTAAGCAAAAATGCAGCACTAATTAAATGGTAATAATTGTTATAAGATCCTTTAAAAGTCTGTATATTTTTTTAAAACAATAAACACTTTTAAAACGCAAATGAATAAGAATGGAACAAGAAATATCGGAAAAGTTCTAATAATTTAAATACTAAACAAATAAAGAATGCAATGCAAACAGCAATATGATAAGTGGAATATAGAGATGTTAAAATATTCTGATATATATTAAATGATGGTTTTTGGAACACACATCATTTTTATCATTTATTGTTAGAGAAGAATATATATATGTAATATATAATATTGGAATATATATATATTTTCAGGCTTTAAGTCCCATATATATAATATTGGAAGTTGTATGGGACACACATCATCTTTATCGTTTATTGTTAAAGAAGAATATATTTGTGAGGTTTAATGCCATGCCAACGAATCTTTCGTTGAAGGAATTGATTCAGAATAGCTTTTTGAAGTATAGGTTAAAAGCTGCAAGAGTCCTTTTTATTGTGTTACCGGATCTAATTTCAATTTGAATTGAGATTCGATTGTGTTTAGCAACCGCGGTATATATCCATTATGAAATCAACAAAGCAACAACCTTGTGTTTGGCGTAGATTTAGTCAAGAACTCAATGGATTTCGAGGGAAAACAGGTACATGTCCCTCTTTACCATGAGAAAAGATATCAGCAAGACTGTCTATGCAAGAGATCTTTGGTCCTGATGAAGAGGGACCTGTACCTGTTGGCCCTCGAAATCGATTGGGTTCTTGACTAAATCTACGCCAAACACAAGGTTTTTGCTTTGCTAATTTTGTTTCACTTTGGCACGTTTCACTTCTATTTTGATATGATATATTCATTATATTAAGGAATTGTAAATGTAATGCGTATGGCTCATATTCCTCCAAATTAAAATTGTTTATATGAGTTTGAATATTTTTGAATTGTCATTAAAGTGAGGAACGTGTTTTTTAAAATTCGGAGGGGACGCATTTTGTCAGCAGAAATTTTCCATTCGAAAGCTATCTCTTTCAGTAATGAAAATTTTTTTATTTAAATCACAACAAAATCCTTCAAAGAATGCTTGAGATTGACTTCTCTAAACGTGGTATCAGTCAAGAATATCTTTTATTTACCATTTTCAATAATTCTTATAATTCATGCTAGCTTCATTGCAGATATATAATAAAATCTCTACACTGCAGGACTTAAAACCTCTACAATGAGGAGAGATGAAGAAAATGATCTTCTGTTGCCTTACCTAATTATTAGGAATTTTCATTCTAAAATCCACTAATCTGCAAGATTAGCAGTTAATGCATCATCGGTTATTAAAAGATCATAGAATGCATTGCGTTGAAGCAAATATAATTGTGGCGAATTATTATCGTGTTTGATGGTAGCGTGTGATGAATATTATGTGCCTGCTCATTCAAAATTTTCCGCACATTTTGGGATTCTTATACACATTCCTTGTTTGTTGCTTGCCTGCTGAGGCTTAGAATAGCAAAGACTTGGGATCAACACAAGAGCCTTCGGATTTACGTTGTAGAGATCATTAGACATTTTATACTAGGAAGCATGAATAATCAACCGTGACTTTGCTGCCTTTCAAACTACGAATATTCCACATGTTGCTTGAATGTGCTAACCACTTACACTACGACAACACGTATGGGCAGAGGGCCAACATACAGTCGGGTAGAGACATTAGACCCAGTCAATTAAATTCAGGTGGTTATGAGTTTTTCTCCTCTTGTCCACCGCATATTAGCACGTACGCCACTGCAGAGACCGTTACAACATTGCATTTTCTGATTTCATAAGCTAACCATGTACTTTACGAAAGAACTCACGGGGGAATGCGATAATGCCTTATAACAGCAATGTCTGAACATCGAGAAATCCCAGATCGGAGACATCGTTAGCCATGTCTGTGGTAAAGCGCATTGCTTGTGTTTACAAGATATGCAAATCATTTTAATGTTTCTTATACCATAGTATTTGCGCTATCAGAATTGTGAGATGAGATGCATGCCGAGCGTAAACATAATGTTAGGGATACTTCTTGGCAGTATGCTTAGCATTTTCCACCCGTCCACATTCTGGCGACAGGCAAAACTTGCAGATTGAAATTAATGAGTTGTGTAGCACCACCTCCTCCATTTGACAGTCCCAGACATTCGGATACTGGAGACCGTGTCCTTAATATTGTATATCTTTGTCATTTCCGAGCCTGAGTACGAAAAACGTTAGGGACTTTAGCGATTTAAAACCTCAGCATATGGTGTAGACTTTGAACGAGCATCGTATTCATCGATACCAGAAAAATATTATTAAATGTGATAAAAATTCTTCTGTGGCTATGTTTTTGTAGAGCAACGCATTATGTAATGGATTTATCCTTGAAGACACACAGTTAATAATTATCGCTTGTTAAAGCATTTTTGTATATTAAAGAGCATTTCTGTAGATTAAAAGCATTTTTTAATAGACATTTTGTACTTGCTTCCTTGCAGATAAGATGTGATAACTTCGCTAAATTTTTTTTAGCAAATACTATGATCTTAATTATTCGCTGGGACATGTCTGCGCTTTGTTTATATATTGTATAAAGTGTAAGCAAGTACTGAACTGTTGTATATGTTGCGAATGTTGACGGTATGGGTAGAGTTCAAATTTGAGCAAAGTTATACTTTTCTTATTCAATATCAAATTATTGCAAGAATAGTGTCAGTGATATTTATAGCTCACTTCTGAATTATTCCGAGATTTTTAGAGAATTCTGTCCTCGCATATTTTTTAATATAATCTCATCTTTTTAATCATGATATAGAATTGGATAAAGCCTTCCAAACGCTGTGAGGAATTAAAAGTATTCCACTGATATCTCCGGGTGGTGGTGTGATTAAACCGAAGATCAAAACAATGACGATCACGGGTTCTATTCTCGGCGCAGGTGCAGTTAAATATATATGACTACCTTTACGAAAAATCTTAAGGAATTCACAACTTCCACTTGAAATTATGTAACTGTGCATTTGTAATAAGCATCATAAAGAACCGTGTGTTTTACATCAACAGGACTTGAATGATAAAAACGTCGTATTTATTACGAATTTTTTTTAAGTTATTATTTTCATTAGGGGCACCGATGACTTAAAAGTACCGTTTATAGGAAACATTAAGCGGCTGTTTTGGGATGCTTATTATAAGTTTCTGCGAATAAATACATTGGAATGATTTAAATCTATTTAGAGTTATAATTGTGTTTATAATATCACTTTGCTTGTCTTAAGTTTCGAAGTAGTAGTGTTACAGAAATAAAAAGGCATTTATGTAACGAAATTTCTTGCTATTTGCTGTGTTGCTTAGTTTATTCGCAACAGAACTGTACACAATCGCACAGTTTAACATAGAACCAGAGCCAGCGCCAGAGGTGGTGCAACCGGTGAGGCCACATCGGGCAGCAGAATTTAGAGAACCACCGAGCTGCAAAGTTTAGAGATGGCAACATTTTTAGAATTTGTGGAGGCATCGGGTACCAGAATTTAGGATCCGCAGACTGCACCGGAGGGCAAAATGTGTAGCGCTGACCATGAGCAAAATTGCCACTCCTAAGTTCTTCGATGCTGCTACGCTAAGTCTCCTTTCAAGAATAAATGAAGTTTGAATTTACC